CATCCATAGCCCCTCCACAGGCCCTCTATTGCCCCCACACTCACAGCCCTCTCAATGCTCTCATTCCTCTCCCCTTTTCCTGTGTTTTCATTCACTTTACACTTCCTTTAAATGTTTGAATCAATTCAATACTAATAGTAAACATAATATAAGTTTTGTTTAAACTTTAAACTGGGGATCAAAATGGGCTCAAAATGTTTTCATTGTTGTAATCATTAGATTAGTGTTCGCTAAATACCTAACAATTAAATCCAAATTGTGAATTATGGGCAAACATATACAGCTATGGATTGTCGACAAAGTTGCAATGACTCAAATGCAATGCATTTAATAGAATTATTTGTGGGTTTTATATTTAATGTATTTTCATATTATTAAAGGCTCTCAAATTATTTGAATCAATATATCTTTATTATTGTTGCAACTAGAGATTCTTAAACTGAACAAATAATTATATAACTTCAGGACTTTTTAAATATAGCAACTAAAAATATTAGATTCATAGCAAAATAGCACTGTACAGTGTGTATACTGTGAATTAGTGCTATATTCTACTGTGAACGCTATTTTGCTATGAATCTCATATTTTAGTTGCTATATTCTTAAAAGTCCTGAAGTAATATTTAAACAAGGTCCACACAGCGATACGTTAACCACAATTCGGGTGATGATTAAAGAATAGATTAACACTATCTACACATTTAATATTAGTCCTATAGCATTGCCCATAGAATTAACATTACCCATAGGATAACATTAGTCCCATGTTAAAGTATAGCCATAGAAATAAGCTGTAATCTGATGTTAAATCCCATAGCGCGGGGGAGGGGGCAGACAGATCCTATAAACCACATTATTCTATGCAGAATTGCGGTTAAAAATGTTATTCATTTAAAAAGTTATAGGTTTTGATATTTTGCATTTCATAATCAGTTATATTGTATTGTATTGTATTGTCATATAATTAAAGTGCTATATATATAAACATTGATCAACAGGTGATACCAATCATGTGTTGTATTTGGTTTTGGTTTCGGGATGTGTTTCAGTGGGAAAACTGCATAACTCGGAGATATTCCGGATAACGGATACTGTATTTATATCTCTGCGGAATAACGTGTCAGATGTGGAGAGACTACAAGAAGTTCGACGAATGCTTAATTCGGGAACATTTTATTTCTCGGTTATTGTGAGCCCAGACTCGGCTCACAATCAGTTGCCATTCGATCTGACACTTTGTGCCCAAAGATCTGTCCGCACTTCGGAAACAGACAATCGCTTCTTCTGGAATCGTATGCTTTTCTTACATCCATTGAGATATGGCGTCAATACAGACAAATGGCTGCTCAAAGCCATGTGCGGCGGGCTTTCCATTAGCACTGTATATGTGGGACACATTCAGGCGAAGGCATGCCTTATATCACGGCTCAGTTGCGAGAGAGTTGGCACGCGTTTCAATGTTCGCGGCACTAATGATAGCGGAAATGTGGCCAACTTTGTAGAAACGGAACAATTCATTTATTTGGAGAACAAAGTGGCCTCTTATGTGATGACCAGAGGATCCATACCATTGTTTTGGGAACAGACAGGAGTGCAGGTATAGTTCGCTTGCAATGTTATACTACATACAGTACAGTATTATATAACGATTCGCACCACTAATAAATGCATTGCCGCACTAATAGGTGGGCGCGCATAAGGTTCGTATGTCTCGGGGCAGTGAAGTCTCACAACCGGCATATGACAGACACTTGGCATCAATCCGACAGAGATATGGCCATCAAATGCTCATTAATTTGGTCGGCAGTAGAGAAGGCGAAGGAGTGATCGGACAGATGTTTAAAGCGCATCACAAGAGCTCTCGGTTTGGTAAAGAGATTCCATACGTGGCTTTCGATTACCACCACTACTGCAAAGGTGGCAAAGAAGAGAATATCAAAATTCTTAGGGATCACATCCACAAGAATCTCAATGATTTTGGCTTCTTCTATGACGACGACGAAGGAGTGGTTCAGAGACAACAAACGGGCACTTTTCGTGTCAATTGTATTGATTGTCTCGACAGAACAAATCGCGTTCAGACTTTCATTGGATTAGAAGTTAGTGACAAATTAAGCAAACATTTTATTATTGTTATTTCATTGGCCTTTTGTGTTTAGATTTTGTCCCAACAATTGGAGTGTTTAGGTGTTAACCAAAAACCAACAATTGTTTCTCGTTTTGAAGAAGTATTCAAGAATATGTGGATTCAAAACGGAGATCAAGTGAGCAGAATATACGCCGGAACGGGTGCTCTGGAGGGCAAGTCTAAGGTATAGAATCTATACTATAGATGATTGATTACAAGTGCTGTGATTTACTATAAAAAGTGATGTTTGAATTGCAGTTAAAAGACGGAACGCTATCAGTCGCCCGAACCATACAAAATAATTTATTAGATAACAGCAAACAGGAAGCCATCGATATATTGCTTACTGGAAAACCTTTAAACAACGAGTACTCAGACAGAGCGCGGTCTCTATTGGCCACACATTACCTACACTTACCATCGAATTTGTTAATATCGATGTGCGACAGATATCTGGAGTTCACAGAAGCGCTGCCCATTAAAGTGTCTGTCGGCACGTGGAATGTAAACGGAGGCAAACATTTCAATAGCATTATCTTTAGAAGATCTGATCCATTGTCTGATTGGCTGATCGACAATAAAAAGAAGAATAGTTTTGTGCCAAATATTATGGATCTGTCATTGAATTCATCATTTAGTGCTTTAGAAGACAACGACTCCTCTCCTACTGATCTCTTCGCCATTGGATTTCAAGAAATAGTAGATTTGAACGCAAGTAATATAATGGCCGCGAGTACTACAAACCAAAGAGAATGGATGGTTGAACTCCAGAAGACCATATCAAGGGATGAGAACTATGTTCTCATAACATCTGTTCAATTAGTGGGCGTTTGTCTCTTCCTTTTCTCGCGACCAAAATATGCGCCATTTATTAGGTTTGCCTCTCAATAGAGATCTTTTTATTGCAAATCGATTGCTAATAATTTGATTAATTGATTAGAGACGTAGCCATAGATCAGGTGAAGACTGGTTTGGGCGGTGCGGCGGGCAATAAGGGCGGAGTTGCCATTCGGCTATTGTTTTACAATTCGTCGCTTTGTTTTGTTTGTTCGCATTTCGCCGCCGGTCAGCACCAGTTCGCCGAACGCAACGCCGATTACGCGGAGATCACTAGAAAGACATCGTTTCCAATGGGAAGATCATTGAATTCACACGACTATGTCTTCTGGTGCGGAGACTTTAACTATCGCATAGATCTGTCCAACGATGAGGCGAAGCAATTGGTCAAAGACCGCGATTGGACTGCACTTCTCGCCGCCGATCAACTCAAATGTCAACAAAACGAGTCAAAAGTGTTCAGGAATTATATTGAAGGCGACATCTGTTTCGCTCCGACCTATAAGTATGACATCAATAGCGAAGACTACGATACGAGTGAGAAATGTCGGGTTCCGGCCTATACTGACCGCATACTCTTCAAGAAGAGATATCCCACCGCTTCTAATGAAAGCATGGATTCATTGAATTACGGAAAGATTGTTCACTACGGAAGGGCTGAACTCAAAACATCAGATCACAGACCAGTGATCGCAGAACTGTTGTGTGAAGTACTTGTTATCGATGAAGAGAAGAGATCTCAGGTGTTTCGTAGTGTATTGGAACAAATGGGTCCATTGGACGCTACAGTCGTCGTCAGTCCCTATGACTCGGATGACGACAATTGTTTTGATGACATGTTTGTCACACAACTTCTCAAACGTTTGGCCAACGAATCGGGAGAAATAATTTTAGCCCGTTTTGGGGACAATAACTTGAGGGTCACCTTCAGAGAGGGTCAGTGCGCTCTGAAAGCGGCTAAATTGGAGTCGATATCTGTTTTGAATAAGACGTTTGTTATTGAGTTAAAGACCAAGAATTGGATCGAAGCCGTCGAAGAAGAACTCAAACTTGGAATTAATAATACGATTCCTTTATTAGAAAAGTCGTCGGAATTTAACGATTTCGATGATATGAACCACTCTTTGGGTCCCACTTTTGATCCAATGGCGTATCCCATGGCGGCAGACGAAGAGACTGATATTTGTTCCAATTCTTCGGGACACAGCTCTCCTATTCCTCCAAATGATTCCAACGAACCATCGGAAAGACCGCCTCCACTGCCGGGCCGTTCAACGCCGACAGTTCCCCCGCCGGCGCGTCCGCCTCCACCCAAAAATCCAATGGCTTCTCCATCGCGACCGCCGCCCCCGGCATCCAAAGTGGCCGTCAAACCAATAAATATCCCGCTAACGGATCCATGGAATGATAATTTGGTAACATTTATAAAATGTTTATATTTAAGGTATTTTTATTTGACAAAAATTTTACACTGTTTTCAGTCGAGTCCAGAAGTAAATAAGCCGTTAAAACCAGTTCCGGTCAGACCGGCGCCACTCCCGCCGCCAACCAATGGTTGGAATAAAAGCGCAGAATTGGGAGAGACTTCAGAACACGACTCGAGTTTTGATTTGCCTCCGCCTTCAATGCCGGCGCCGCCACTCCCTCTCACGCACTCCGACACTAGCTTTGAAGCCGAGAAGAGCGCTCCACCGCCTCCTCCCAGAGTGGACTCATTCAAAGACTGTTCAGAAGAGCCCCCTCTGTCACCATTTCTGTACGAACTGCCGCCGGCGCCCCCTTTGCCCCCCATCACCAACGAAGAGCCGCCTCCTATTCCTTCGCGACCAAACATTGCATCCATTTTGGAATCGACTCAAGACTTTATTTCAGTGCAAACAAATCCGCCGCCAATACCCGCCAGAACTGTCGCTAAGCCTCCCATCATTCCTCCTCGACGTACGGCTCAATGATTCAACAAACAGTTCTAGTCTTTGACTTCAAATCAATTATTAAGTCTTTATGACATGAATTGAGAAAATGTCTAAAACAATGAAATTCTGGCTTTAATTCCAATATTATTAATATTCTGAATGATATACAAAATTATTTGCTAAATAAGTGATTCAAGTCTATGGCAAACATTGTATGGCATTATATTGTGGTGATTAGCCATACCTTCGATGCTATGGACTATTTGCGACACATTTCAATGCTTATATCATTGCAGTGACAGACCATTCGCACAATTTCTTATCGTGAAATACAGATCACAGCATAAATCCATATCAATAGAAATAATGCTATAATATTGAACATGGTGAATTAACTTGAAATAATGACTTGAACATTTAATTTATTTGCCATGTTTTATAACTAAAATGAATACTAGAAATATATGATGAGTCAGTATTTCATTTGTTTAACTCATTTCTCAAACATTTGACGGCTCTTTAAACAGATTATAATAAGTTTATAATAAATTTGTTTTGTTTTCGAGTCATAGCTTTGTTTGATTGAAACTTTCAATCAAATTTTAATTTGAAAGCCAATCATTGGATCAGACATCACAATATTCTGATAGCAAATACTGTTTATTTACAAAACATAATCCATTGATATATACATGTAATTTTGACAATTTATTTAACTACTTGTATATATATTTTAATTGTATATTTTAATATTATTTTATAATTTGATTTGATATATACGTCTAGTCTTATAAATAGGCAGTTATTTTATTTAAATATATTTTAAATATTCTAGAAATTAATAATTTATTTATTGATGAAATTCATAAAATTATAATAATATTAATTGTTTGTGAAATATATATAATATTTAAAAATTCTATTAAATTTACATATTATGTGAAAATAATAACTCATGAAAAGTACAACAAATATGAAATGAATGCTAAACTACTTAACAATGAATTAATGCTAAAATCATAAATATTTAACACAATTAAATGTATTGTCTTATTATTTGTTTAAATATAATATATAATTGTTAAATAACTCGTTATTCAAATCTAACAAAACAACAATTATTTTATTAATAAATTAAATTTTATTTTGAGTCCATAATTGTGTCAAACAGTCTATCATTTAAATAACATAATTGTCTAAGAAATCCATCATTTGGTCTGATTTCTCTGTTTTGTCGCACTTGTCGTATGGCTTCCTGTGCTGTCATTCCTCTTATGATCATTAGATACGACACAACAAGTGTTGCCGACCGAGAGATGCCTTCTTTGCAATGAACCAAAACATTATCTGAAATGTCATCATAATTATAATACTTTACAAATCATTATACAAAACAATTGGTTGTACAATGTACATGGTGTGTTTTAATGGACTTTACGATAACAAAGTGAAATACAGTGCAACCTCTCTTGGGGAAACTTTTCTTGGGGAAATACCTCTTCATAAGAAACGGTTTTGAAATCTCTTTTGGATTTCCTATACTTATAATGTTAAAAAGACCTCTCTTAGGGAAACTTCTCTTGGGGAAACACCTCCCCATAAGAAACGGATTTATAGAGATTAAGATAAAACTTCCACTTTCGATAAGAAACAAATATAATCATAAGCACATAATATGTAAAGTATNACCTCCCCATAAGAAACGGATTTATAGAGATTAAGATAAAACTTCCACTTTCGATAAGAAACAAATATAATCATAAGCACATAATATGTAAAGTATTCAAAATATTTTCAAACCTAAGACTTTAAACAAACAAAAAACACATTTACATTTAAAGTTTCATTAAATACTGTAATCAATATACGTATACTCTAAAGTCTTATTTTATATCCAGAAATGCATCCGATGATCAAATGTTAGAACATTTGGACAAAATTAAGACTAAAGAACTTAATTTTCATTTTAATACAGCTAAACAAACTAAAATTACTGATTATTTTCAATAATTGCTATTATTAATAAAATTTTAAAAATTAATTAAAAATTAGACATTTTTACTCGAACCTCCCTTGAAGAAACCCTCTCTATAAGAAACACNTTTTAAAAATTAATTAAAAATTAGACATTTTTACTCGAACCTCCCTTGAAGAAACCCTCTCTATAAGAAACACTTTGGCTATGCATCTGCCCGTTTCTTATGGAGAGGTTGCACTGTATACTGTATATGCAACTAGTGTTGTCAAATAATATTTTGAAAATCCTGTATAAATATGAAAAACTTGCCAAAAATTCTTGTGTTTTCTTGTATTGTAATCTATTTTCGAAATATTTATTCCTGTATTTTTTCTGTATCAATGTACAGGGAAATTTATTCCTGTATTTTGTGAAAATTCCTGTATGTTTGGCAACGCTATGTGCAACACACATCTTTATTACAGATTTTATGTCATTTGAATTTCTAGACCGAATACTTTTCGAGATATTCAATTTTGTTATCTCAAAATCCATTAAAATACACCTTGTATATTTTTAATCTCAATTCAGCAGACAATTGATATTTATAGGTTTGCTTTGCCGTCACTCTTTGGCACGATGTTTAAAAATCTTTATTTAACTGCATTTTTCATATTAGATCCTATTATTTTGTATGTAAATCATAGAGTGATAATGGTTTTGACTCAAAACTTTTGAGTATAAAGTATGTGCAAACAAGGATTACACAGCGATGCTATACGTTAACCATAATTCGGGTGATGCTTAAAGAATCGATTAGCATTGTCTATAGATTTAATATGAGTACAATAGACTTGTCATAGACTTCCATTCCACACTATTCCATAGAGTTAATATGCATTAGTCCCATACGATCAATATAATCCATAGAATTAGTATTAGTTTCATAGACTCAACATTGTCCATGAGATTAGCATTACCCATGTTAAACCTATGTCATATACTTTAGCTGTAATCCCATGCTCCTTTTATATCCATTTAAACATCTTGCTCTATGGGATTTAACATGAGATCCAAGCTTATGCTTTTAGTATGGGGTTAATGTTATTTCTATGAGTAATGCTAAATTGCAATAGAAAATGAATGGTGGGGTAAAGAGCCAACAATTTCAACATTGAATTGAGATTAAAAATGAATTACTATTTGATACAAACGGCCGGCAATTATAGCTGAGTGTATAAAAAGTGCCGATTCGTCGAAATACTGAAACAAATTAAAGCTCGACATATCTATGGCTCCGATTGGCATCCATTGTATTCCCGATTCTGAATATAATTTTTCACTTATATTAACCATATTTAGTGATAAATCGTTTCCAAACGCGGCGTTCAATACATGACTTATTGATAGAGACTTTAATAAAGCAATATTTCGTGCAATTGTTCTGAAATTTTAAAATATTAAATAATTTTATAACAATTTTGATTATAAAGTCATATATTGTGTATATTACTCGTCGCCTAAGAATATGTTATCAAACACTTGATTATATGAATCTGTAGGCAGAATATACTGTCCATAATTTGGTGCCACAATTATTTGCTCCAATTCTTCAGGAGTACACGTCTTGAGCGGTTCTCTCCACCAGTTATTCATTTAATGCATTCAATCAAAAGTAATCTAACATAACATTACACACATTGTATTGTAAACTCAATCAAAAATATGCACTAAAAATAACTTTTTCCTCTTATAATAAAAAGTTTAAATTATGAAAATATATTAAATGTGTGCTCAATGTCTGCTCACAAAGATATACTCAATTGAAACAAACAATAATTTTTATAAAAATTACATTTATTAAAAAAATTCTAATTCAGTATAAGTTTGCAATTATTATAATGATTATAAATTGTGATCAAATTCTTGCAATTCTTGCATTTGTGACCAAATGAAGGGTTTGTGTGTTTAGTGTTTTGCGGACGTCATTGATGTCTGCAATGAATTGCAAAACAATTAGCGATTGAAATGAAGAGTCATTTGAATTGTGATTGAAGTGAAGATTGTGTTGACTTGTGTTGAATCGGATGTCAAACCAAATGTTTGGTTATTTCGATGGAGACTTCAGACGACGGCCTCAACAGTCTTTGGGCGGATCTCATAGAGAGGTATCAATCCATCAATTGATCCATTCCTCCAACTATTGGCTTATTTAATCTCATTTCAGACTCAAAGACAACAATTGCTCCAAAAGGCGGCTGAAGAGAGACGCGATCGGGAGGTAAGACACCGGACACGAAGTGGTGATGATTTGGTGACAATAATGAATGTCTTTACAGGAGTTGAGGCGTCGGACCAACTGTGCGATTGTCATCCAGTCCTTCATCAGAGGATGTCTGGCCCGCAAAAGACAAGTATTGATTGAATTGTTGTCTCATTTTGAGAGCAATTGAAACGATTATAATTTGATTGAATGGTTAATAGTGTTCACAAATGCGCAAAGAATATGACGACACGATTGACCGGTTGTCCAAAAGCCACGAAAATCCATCACTCGATGCCATCGAACATCTGATCCATGAATTCATTGTATTTTATTGTAAAGCAAAAGACACACAAAGACTCGTGAGTTTTGCCTTAAAATGAGTGAAAATTAATAGTGATTTTGTGGCCAGAATTGGTTGAGTCAACAACTGGTCAAACAGAAGGACATAATCGGACCGAAAGTGATTACGGATACGAATCACTGGTTATATCGAATCAAATGTATTCTTGAGTTCAATATCAGTGAATTGGAGTCAATGGCCGGCAAACAGGCATCGATTGCTATACCGATGCGGGCGTTGGAAGTGTTTACGGGCGCCGATGTCTACGACAAGTGTTGTGCCGA